TGCCCCCCATGCGTCGTGGCAGGCTTGGCCCAACAGCGCTGCGCGTTCTGCCTTCGAACGTTGGGGGCTTCTGAAGCCCAGGATCTTCGTCGATATTGCTTTCTGTTCCACCCTCCTCTCAATTACTCCTGCTTGGTGCGCATGTGTGTCTTGCGTTTCCTCGGACTGTGGTCGACCCCCCGGTTCGCAAGCAATGCGTCATACTGGCCAGGATACTCAGCAAAGGGCGCCTTTTCAACGCGAACCAACTCCTCGCTGGCGCCAGTAGCGCAGTACTTCTCAAGGGCGAACGCCAAACTAAAAGGCAGGGGGTGGTCGATCAGATAGGACAAGACTGTCATGGCTCCTGATGCACCGAAACATGTCCGCACACCTCTCGTTTAAACTGATGGTGTCAACATGCGCGGCTATACACGTGGGGCGCTCTTCTCCAAACCAGAATGCACGATTGGTGGGCAGTGCGCCTTTTCCTCGAAAGTTGCCGCGCGACCACCTGCTCCAATGCCTTGGTGAAGTTTCATGCTGCGCGGCATGGCGCCGCCCATGTTAAGCATGCGATCTCACTCGGCATGCATGAAATGCTGCCGCCCAGTCGCGCTGTGCACAATTATCTCGGCGAAGCGACCTAACAGCGATGTGTAGAAGCATACCTGGAAGCATTCCCCTTAAGATTCAGATGAGAATCCAGTTGTAGAATTCTGCTGTTCTCGCAGTCGTAGTCGCATTCGCGATGACAGTCGCAGTGGCAACAGCAGTCGCAGGCACAGCCTCAGCCTCAGCCTGCATCAGCCTCAGCCTCAGCCTGCCTCAGCCTCAGCCTCAGCCTGCCTCAGCCTCGGCCTCAGCCTGATTCAGCCTCAGCATCAGTCTGCCTTCAGCCTCGGCCTCCGCCTCAGCCTGCCTCAGCCTCAGCCTCAGCCTCAGCCCGCCTCAGCCTCAGCCTGCCTCAGCCTCAGCCTGCCTAAGCTACAGCCTAGCTGCTCTGTCTCAGCCTCAGCCGCTCAGCCTAAGCATCAGGCTGCAGTGGGCTCGGCAGCGGCACTCAGCCTGCCTCAGCATCAGCATGCCTCAGCCTCAGCCTCAGCCTCAGCCTGCCTCAGCCTCAGCCTCAGCCTGCTTCAGCCTCAGCCTCGGTCTGCCTTCAGCCTCGGCCTCAGCCTCAGCCTGCCTCAGCCTCAGCCTGCATCAGCCTCAGCCTCAGCCTCAGCCTGCCTCAGCATCAGCCTGCCTCAGCCTCAGCCTCAGCCTGCCTCAGCCTCAGCCTCAGACTGCTTCAGCCTCAGCATCAGTCTGCCTTCAGCCTCGGCCTCAGCTTCAGTCTGCCGTCGGCCTCGGCTTCAGCCTCAGCCTCAGCCTCAGCTTGCCTCAGCATCAGCCTGCCTCAGCCTCAGCCTCAGCCTGCTTCAGCCTCAGCCTCAGTCTGCCTTCAGCCTCGGCGTCAGCCTCAGGCTGCCTCAGCCTCAGCCTGCATCAGCCTCAGCCTCAGCCTCAGCCTGCCTCAGCATCCGCCTGCCTCAGCCTCAGCCTCAGCCTGCCTCTGCCTCAGCCTCAGCCTGCTTCAGCCTCAGCCTCAATCTGCCGTCGGCCTCGGCCTCAGCCTCAGCCTGCTCAGCCTCAGCCTGCATCAGCCTCAGCCTCAGCCTCAGCCTGCCTCAGCATCAGCCTGCCTCAGCCTCAGCCTCACCCTGCCTTGCCTGAAGCCGTCAGCCCTGCTTCAGCCTCGCCTCAATCTGCATTCAGCTCGGCCCTTCAAGCAATCAGCATGCCGCACATCAGCCCTGCATCAGCTCAGCCTCAGCCTAGCCTGCTCAGCGTAGCCTGCCTTCAGCCTCAGCCTCAGCTGCCTCAGCCTCAGCCTCAGACTGCTTCAGCCTCAGCCTAATCTGCCGTGGGCCTCGGCCTCAGCCTCAGCCTGCCTCAGCCTCAGCCTGCCTCAGCCTCAGCCTCAGCCTCAGCCTGCCTCAGCCTCAGCCTGAGCCTGCTTCAGCCTCAGCCTCAGTCTGCCTTCAGCCTCGGCCTCGGCCTCAGCCTGCCTCAGCCTCAGCCTGCATCAGCCTCGGCCGCAGCCTCAGCCTGCCTCAGCATCCGCCTGCCTCAGCCTCAGCCTCAGGCTGCGTCAGCCTCAGCCTCAGCCCGCTTCAGCCTCAGCCTCAGTCTGCCTTCAGCCTCGGCCTCAGCCTGCCTCAGCCTCAGCCTGCTCAGCATTCAAAATGTGGTCCGGGAATGGAGTTCTGGGAACTCGAAAAACACGAAGTGGCCTACAGTTGGCTCGCGGCATTCTTATGCCCAGGAGTAGAGTTCTGGGAACTCGAAGACCACGAAGTGGCGCACAGTTGGCTCGCCGCATCCAAACTGTGGCCCGGGAATGGAGTTCTGGGAACTCGAAGAACACGAAGTGGCCTACATATGGCTCGGGGCATTCAAAATGTGGCCCGGGAGTGGAGTTCTGGGAACTCGAAAACACGAAGTGGCCTACAGTTGGCTCCGGGTATTCAGAATGTGGCCCGGGAATGGAGTTCTGGGACCTCGAAGACCACGAAGTGTGTAACTGTTTGCTTAAAACAACTTCCGCGGATTCTCCCCGGATCCTGCCCAGATCCCCGTGGGGAGTCATGATGCTCTCTTTTGAGACCACTAGAAACCTATCAGTCTTCTTTGTTAAGTAAAAATGTTGATGCTGCGTGCGCTCGTGGCACTGTGTCAAGTCTGCGAGCAGACTAAGTACATACATCTTGACACTGGCGACCATTTCTCACCGAGCCCCGAGCCTGCTGCCGTCGAACAATGTCAGTCGGTGAACGTCCCGATCGCGCGCTGAAAACGCCGCAGTCCTGGATTCTGTGCCCCAAAATCCGGCAGCACCTGGAATTCCATCTGGAAGCCGTGCGAATCAAATTCTGATGAAAACCAAGATCTGCCTTCTCCACGACGCCGGCGCACGAAGGGGGCCAAGGGTGATTTTCGTCGTCCACGACGGGGGGCGAGCCAAGCGCCGCCATCGGGCCCAGTGCCTAGTCGCGCAGCACATGAAAGCGCCCGGGATGAAGTCTGCCCGCGGTGACCGTGGGTCTCTTGAAAGACTACTCCAGGCCCTGAGTCTTTCGCCGCCCCGCCGCGCGCTTTTCCCCGCTTCGTCTCCTCTTCCTCCATCTGATGAGCCAAGAGTGAGGTGGAAGCTCCTTCGTCGTCCGTGGGGCAAAGATCGCGCCGTCTGCGCGCTGCTACCTCCGTGTGGGCGCGCGCCCGATTGGCTCCGCCAGCGAGCGGCTCCGCGCGCCGATCAACCCACTTGGCTGACTTATCCGCCTTCCCGCGGGGCGAGGACAGAGGCGCCTGGTAGTCGACGAACAGCCGGAGGGCTTGGCAATGCCCGGCAATCGCATCTGCGCACGCGCTGGCGCCCGATACCCATAGAGGGGCAATCGCAGCCTGGGGGGGGGGGGGGGGCGCCCAAGCACCGACCCCCGGGATAGTGGCGCTTAAAGATTGCCCCCCACACAAGTTGATCTGTTGGCGGCATGCAAGAGCACCCAGCAATCGGCCGCGCGCGCGCGCGATGCCTGCCGCTGGAAATGAGGCCCCGACTTTCCTGGCATCGCCTGACAAACAGGGCCCTGGGCACTGCTGCGCCCGATGCAGAGCAGCTTCCCAGAGGCACCTGGTGCAATTCGAAATGTGGGCCCGTCGCGCGGCCAAAACCACGGTCGCTGGCGGAGTCTGGCTGTCGCGAGCCCCGCTGCGACCTCCTGGAAAACTCTGAAACGCCTTCTGCAGCTCCCCTCGAGCTTTGGCTGCCCAGTCCTCGCAGGTCTCGCCGAAGCCCTTGTGGAGACAAGCCTGTTCTTCGCCAGTGGCGGGGCGGGGCGGGGCGCGGGCGGGGCGGGGCGGGGGGGGGGGGGGGGGGGGGGGGGCGATCGCCTGCAAGGGCCGCGAGTCGCCGAATGAGCTCACCGCGCCGCCCCGCCAAGTTCTCGCAGTCGAGCGCCTGCGGGGCCGGGCTGATGGGGAAATCCGCGGGGGGTGTCGCAGACTGCATGAGGCGCCGAACAACGATCTCATCGGCGCGCGCGCGGCCGAATTCGAGCTTGGCGGCGCGGAAGCGCGCCGGAGTCATGTCCGCGCTCGCTGAACGGACTGCCGCCAGCAGAGGCGCGCCGAGAATGGAAGAATCGAGCAATGGCCCGGCGCGGCGCTCGCGCGAGAAGCCATCGGAGCAGGCGCCGCGCACTGGTCGCTCCATTTGTGAGGCGCGAAGCCTTCCTTGACAACGCGCGCAAATGCGCCCCCGTAATGAGGGGGGGCCCCTGGCGCGGCACAGCAAGGCCAAACGTCCAAGCCAACGTGGCACTGCGCTAGGAAAGGCCCTCGCAGTCATGGAAATACCACCAGTAAATCGACATGGCACCGAGAGCTGCTCCGAACATGAACGTGGATGAGTCGGTGAAGAACCAGGTCGCGCCTTCGACGTGGGTCTCGCCGCGCGCCAAAACTGCGACCTCGCGAATTTGGTCACTCCTGACGAGCAACCGTTCCTGGGCGCCACCTCGCACTGGGACCAGAACGACTTCCACCCGGGCTTCCCCATCGACTCCTTAGCTTCAAATAATTCAGACCATGTAGCTTGTGCTCTTGAACGACGGCTACGCGGGCCTCGCGCTCGTTGATGTAGGCGGCTGCTGGCGCCCAGCGATTCGCACTGTCGGCAAGGTCAGCAGCTCCTTCTCCTTCTGGACGTTAAGGACGCTGCGAGAGGGGCGCCGCGGCCGCCGCGCCTGCCTCGCCCTCCTCCTCCTCGCCGCGCGCCTGCTTCTCGCTCGGCCCGTCCACTCTCTCATCTGCTGGGCGCCGCCCAGCCGAAGACTGCTGGGGCATCGCGACGTCGCCCTCCGCGCTCTCCGCGCGGGCCGCGGCCTCCCCCAGCTGGCCGGGCGCCTGCTGCGCCGCGCTGGCCTCCGCCAGCTCGCGCTGCTGTGGGATCGCTGCTTAACTCGAGGACACTCCTGCGCGCTGGCGGATCTGCTCGGCGAGCTGCTGCATCGGGCCACGCAGGGATTTCATGAGCGCCAGGCCCAAGCCTGCACTGAGGAAGTTCATGCCGTTGAAGAAAGCCTGCGCGTCCGTCTGGCCCGAGCCGCCAACCTGGCTGGGCGCCCCACTGGCCACGCCTTTGCCCGCAGGCATGGGCGGCGGAAAACCTGGGGCACCTTGATGCGGGTCTCCTTGAACTGGAAACCGTAAGGTCTGCACCTTCAACTCCAGCTCTAGCTAGATCTCCCGCGCTGTCTCTAGGTCGGCCTGCGCTGGGGCGCGTTGAACTTCCAGGTCCGCCAAAGCTCTCTCTTGCTTATCGGTGTACTCAATCTGCATATCTGACTGCCGCCTTTCTGTTCAACTTCTGGAAATGAGCCCGCCCGTCTACTGGCTCCATAGCCTCCTCCGTTGACGCCAAGGCTGCGCCCTCCTGCTTGCTCTCCAGGACCTTCAGCGTGTCCAGGGTGCCCTGAAACTTCAGAATCTGCAGTTCTCCGTCGATCGTCGAATTCTTCTTGCCACCGCTGCTCTGGCTCGGGGTCTGGCAGCCCGCTTCACCCCCAGCTAACTCCGTCTGCCACTGAGCGCCGCACAACAAGCACCATTGATGCTGAAGACTCACCTGAGCCGAGCAGCCCTGGCATATCCATAAGTCTGACGCAGCGCATCCTGGTTGGGTCTGCGAGTGGCTGGCAGTCTTGGCCCTGCCTTTGCCACTCCCGCCGCCCAGACCGTGGCGGGCATTGCCCTTGCCAGCAGCACCTCGCTGCCCCATGTTCTGTAAGGCTGCTGTGTTGTGAAAAAAAAAGGCCCCCGCCGACGGCGCTGCTGCTGGGTCAGTATGGCGCCTGGCGTTGTGCCGCCTCGAGCCCTGGCCCCACCCTTGAGCCAAACTGGTTACGGTCAAACGGTCAGCTCTCTGCCGCAACCCCTCTTTTCCCTGCTCGGGGGACGGGTTTATCATTGTTCCCTATGAGTATGCACCCCCTGCCCCAGGCGACTGGCAGCCAGCCAGGAACAATGACTACCCTATGCGCCCCCCCCACCATCCTTATCAAAAGCCATACAAAAACACTTTTGGGGAACGTGCGGGGTCATGTTCGTGAGGCCCACGAGCACATTGTATTGGGACGGCGGGGGTGTCAACACATTGCCTGCTGCGTGCAGGGCTACTTTGTCGGACAAGAAACAATATGCAATACACCTCGCGGATAAGCCTGGATCGTGGGCGGCCACCCCGCGATCACTGCAAGTGGTGGCGTATGGCCTGCTGTGCGCAGGCCCACCAGACACAATGATGATAACTGATCTTCGACATGGATGGTGGGGGCCGACATGTTTCCCGATGTGTGCTGTCACGTGCACAGGCGCACCTGACACACTTTGCGCGTGCCCCGAACGTGGCGCACCTGGCGCGACTGGAATATGCGGCACACCTGGCGCACGCGGAGGCACGTGGCGCATCTGGCGCACCAGGCGTGCCTGATACGCTCGGGCCCTAGGGGTGCCTGGCGCGCGTGGCGCGCCTGGTACGCGTGGCACACCTCGCCCCAGCGTCGCACCCGGGTTCGGATTTGGTTCCCAGTAGCTGCCCATCCAAAGACGACCGCTGAACATGCAGAGGCTCGGGGGTCACTTATGTGTTGGGAGGGCGGGTGGGAGTGAGCTAGGCGGCTTGCTATCCAGGAGGGTGTCTTGGCCCCTTCCTCCTACCCCTTCCCCTGGGCCTTGGAGGGGGGGGCAGGGGTTAGAGCGCCCACCCAAGATGACTCCAAGAAGAACCTCGGCAGCCCAAGACGACCTCCAGGATGGCTCAATCTAGCTCAAGTTCGCTCAACATAGCCTTCGACATGCCTCCAAGACGGCCCAATACAGCCCCAAGGGGGTTCTGAGTGCGTCTGCGAGCCTCCCAAAGCCCCCCCCCCAAGAGGCCAACGTCCTTCAGACACCGGGGGGGAAATCAAGAGTTTGGGGGTTTTCGTTTTGTCGTGTTCGGTGAGCCTTTTGGGCCTCAAGGATGGCCCAAAGATGTCCGTAGAGAGGGCCAAGATACGCCAAAACGGCTCCAAAAGCGACCCAAGAGGCCCACACGAGGCCGTCTTAGAGCTTCCGACGGGGGGGGCCTAAATTGATCTCCCCGTCTTTGATCGATCTCCTCCAAGATGGCCCCATGAGAGGGACGCCCAGCACCACACGGGAGGCGCGCAACATCACCAGGGAGACCCTCAAGAGGCCCCATAAAGGCCCCCACGAAAAACGAAAGAGGCCCCACGAGGCCCCTCCGGAGCATCAAACACGCTCCAAGAGGCCCACAGGACAACCCAGACCTCTCCTCCTCCTCCTTCTCCTCCTCCTTTCTTCCTCCTCCTCCTCCTCCTGCTTCTCCTCCTCCTCCTGCTCGTCCTCCTCCTCCTCCTCCTCCTCGTCCTCGTCCTCGTCCTCCTGCTCCTCCTCCTCCTCCTCCTCCTTCTCCTCCTCCTATCCCCGCCTCTTCCCGTCCTCCGCCTCTCCACCTCCTCCTCCTCTCCTCCTCCTCTTCCTCCTCCTCTCTCCTCCTCCTCTCACTCGGGACTCATGATCTTATGTTTCGGTATAAACCCGCTCGGAAGAACAACACACACACACACACACGGGCAACGAGTGACACATCCAGGGCCGCAGCAACCTCCTCTCCCACTCCCCCTCCCCCTCCCCCTCCTCCCCTCCTCCTCCTCCTCCTTCTCCTCCCCCTCCTTCTCTGGACCCCCTGGAGCCTCTGGAGCTTCGGACAAGTCGATCCCTCGATGAAAAATAAACTCCTCCTCTTCCTCCTCCTCTTCCTCCTTCTCCTCCCCCTCCTCCTTTCCCTCTCTCCTTTGGGGGGCAACATTCTCTCATGTGTGGTTTCTAAACCCGTCCGGGAAAGCATTGGCACCATGGTGGTGCAGGTGTCCCTCCCCAGTGACAAAACCATATCAGGTAAACATGTGTCGAACAGGATTCTAAGAACCCCATGGAGCCAAAACGGCGCCAGGTCGACCTCTTCAACATACCTGTTGAAGACTTAAACAACACATGTTCCCGCCCCCCCCCTTCGCAACCCCGAAAACGCGTCCAAGGTTTCTGTCGCACTGCATGCGCGCATCTGCTCAGTTTGGATCTCCAAAGCCGGGCCGCGGAGGCTAGAAACGAACTCTTGGTGGGACGGGCCCCTGTCTCCCCCGACGCCTCCTCCCTTCTGGCCTGGCCCCTGCGCGCAACACGATGGAGGACACGAGCGGCAACGCGATAGGATTTGTGCGACGCCCCTGTCGGCATCCAGGCGACGCTTTCTTTCTGGTCGTTCCTTTCCCAATCGCCCCCGCCGTCTTCTCCGTCTCCCTCCTCCGTCCGTGGCGGTTCTCCCTCCACTCCTCTTTCACCTTTCGTGGAATCACCGCCCCCGCACATCCGTCCCACCTGCCACGTGCCGCTCCCCGTTTCCCTCCCTTTTGCTATAGTATTCCTGGCCTGCTCGCTCCCCCTCTCTCTCTCTCTCTCTCCCGCTCCTTTTCCTTCTCGCTCTCGCTCTCGCTCTCTCTTTCTCTCTCTCTCTCTCTTTCTCTCTCTCCTGTCTCGTGTTTTTTTGTTTTGTTGTTCTCTCCCTCTCTCTCTCTCTCTCTCGTCGATGTATCGCTTATGTCATGTTTCTCTATGTATATGTCTCTCCCTCTCTCTCACACGCTCGTCTCGGCTCGAAAATTCTGTTTTGGGCGAGCCGCGAAGCGAACCCCCCAACGCAGCTTTCCCCCTCGCACGGCAAGACTGGACACGCCCCACCCCAGGGTGCGACTGACTCGCGTCACCTCCGCATCAACGGCGCGTGCCGCCATGGTCTCAGGTCAGCGCCATCCGTGCCCTGCTTCCACGCCGCCGCCCAAACGCGCATGCAAGAGCCGCTAAGCCTCCCACCCCGAAAGCACTCTCGGGCGACAGCGTCGCTGCTCTCCAACATCATGGCGGCGCAGACCGGGCGGTTGTAGCATGCGTCGAACAAATCCATCAGCATCTCTCCAAGCTGAAATCATCCACTCCGATCGCCAACCAGCCACGATTGTGCCGCGAACTAGCGAAACTTTGCGGGCGAAAATCAACTACGCCATGCTGCATCATACCCAAATGCACAAGTCGAGCAACAGCCGCGACCGATCAGGGCCAAACCCTTCTGTCGACACCCACCAGAGCTCCGACACTGCCCCCCGCATCAGTCTTCATGCCTCTTACTGGGATGCTCCAGTCCCCCCGGCGCCCATCAGGGCCGATGCTGGAACTCCATGCGTCAGGGGCATCCCTGCCGCGTTGCCTGCCCCGAATTCAGTGCCCGCGCGGTGCCGGGGCGATGGCGGCGAGTGCCGGGGGCCTAGAAAGTTCCGCGCACTCGTCGAGCGCTAGCCTTTCGACAAAAGTCGCCTGTAGCATGTTCATGGGCATCTTCGAGACGCGATCTGGAAGCGATCGGCGCGCGCGATCTAGGGCAGGTCTGGGCCGCGCGCGGGCTGGAGGGCATGGCGGTGCGCGACCTGTGCGCGTTCGTCGCGGATAACCGCCGCGGCCTCAGACTCGCCTTGGACGATGTCCACCTGGGCCCCGATCAGACGCAGGCTGCCCTGCCGGATGGCGCGGAGGCGCCGCGGCGCCAAAGTTCGCGCCCGAGCCAGCCGCGACGCCATCTCCATCGACTTGGGGGTTTACGACTGGATCGCCAGGCCCGCCCGCGACTGCGCGGACGCCCGCGACCACGCAGAAGCTGGCATTGCCGCTGCCGGCGCCGCCGCCGCCGGTGCCCGCGACATCCGCGCCGCCCGCCGTCCAGCATCTGCGGCGCTACAGTGCTCGCGCGCGCCCTGTAACTAGGCCCGCGCCAGCGCGAGCGACTTCGCGAGCCCCGATCGGGCGCCACTCAGCGCAGACCCCGACTCAGGCCCCAAGTCCCGGTCAGGTTGCCCTCGCCCGGCGCCCTGGAGTGCAACGCTGGGGGTGGCCCATTTGAACCTAGCGGCATGGCCCCCTGCGAGCCCCCGAATGCCACGGCGTCTGAAGGGAGGCGCCGACGACCTTGATCTTGTCGATGAGCAACCGACCCGCTGCGCTGACAACCGCGCGGGCCGGGCCAACTGCCCCCGCGGGCTCCACCTCCACCTCTGCGCTTCCGCGTCAGGGGCGCCGGAATTGCTCGTGGCATGACGCGCTATGGAGGGCGACGTTGTTCCCCCCGCCGTCGCGGGGACCTCCGCGGCCTTGGGCGCCGTGCACCCAATGGGACTGGACCGCGGTCCGCGCGGCCCCGCCCCGGTAAGGAACCCCGACCGCGCCCCCTGCAGCGGCGCCGCAATATCCCCCCCCTGACATGGGCGACCGCGCGCCCTGTCCTTCTCGCCCTCGCGCGGCCTCAGCGCCCGCGCCCGCGTCGGTCGCGGCGCCGGCGACTCCGGCGCGGGCCCAGAGGGCCCAGCCCGCCAGGGCCCGCGCGCGCGGCACCGGGCCACCAGGGGCCGATGGGCTCGCCCCCTGGCCAGTCGCTCCGCGAGCCGCGCCGCGCGCGGCGCCGCGGGCCGCTCCGCGCGAGACCTCGCGGGCCCAAACACGGGGGCTCTCCGCGCATCGCTCCGCGGGCCGCTCCGCGCGACGCCCCATGTGCCACCTCTCGAGCGCTCTGTGCCACGGGGGCCCCGGCGTCTACCTGACACGGGCCCGGGGGGCCCAGGCCGCCAAGGTCTCGATAGCCGCGGGAGAGGCGCCAACCGCGCGCATCGAGCAGCCGCGCCATCCGCGACCCCGCCGCGCCACGAAGCGCCACGCTCCACGCGACAAGCGCGCCGGCCAATCCCACCGCCGACCCCCCCGCGCCGCGGCCTTCGAGATCGGCTGCGCCATCGGCAGTGCTGGCCAGGTCGCGCAATGGAAAAGTCCCCCAGGCTCGCCCGAGCAAGAAGTATACTGAGAGGCCGCCGAGCGCCGCGGGGCCGCTGGTCGCGCGGCGCCCCAGGCGAACCCTGCGCCAAGGCGGAGAATGAACGGGGCCCTCCGGGGCATCGCGACCCCGCGGCTCAAACACCTCCGCTGGCGACGTCGGCGACCTCGCGGCCAGGGCCCTCCGATTGCGACCTCCCGAGACCCGATGGAGGAGCGGGGGCGGGGGCGGGGCCAGCGCGGCAAAGACCTCCCGAGCTCGCTTCCGCGCGCGCCTTTGGATATACGCCGACGACGCCGATGTGGCCACTTGGGGCGTGGCCCCAAACGCTGTCGACGCCCTCGGCGCGAGCAGCCCCCCTTTCCCCCTCTCCTCTCCCTCGTCGTCGCGGTTGCCGTCGTCGTCGGTGCAGCGGGGGGCCGTCTTCGCTCGAGACTGCGACGGGGCTGCCGCGCCGACGCGGGGGCCGCCGGGGCCGGCGCGCAGCGCGGGCGGCGTCGCGGGCTCCACTCCGACGCAGTCGCGCACCGCGCTGGTGCTCAGTCCTACGGAAGTGGGCACTGCCAAGGCCCCCACACCCCCACCACCATGTACACGGGCTCTCTATGGAGTCGGACTGCGCCGCGGTGTCCACCACGACGTACTCGAATGCCGCGTCGGTGCCCGGCTCTGCGGAACCGATCGGCCACGCGGCGCCCGCCGCGACGCCTCCAGACACCGCGTTGGTCTCGCAGCACAGGGTCCATTCACCGCGACGCACTCGGCCGCCGCGTCGGTCAGCTCCGCGGAGTTGTGCAATTCCGCGGAGCCCATCACGACGTTCTTGCACTCCTCGGCGGATTCATGCGTCGCGTCGACGAACCGCGCCGCGTCTTGGGCGCGGCGCCGGCGCTCCTCCGGCACAGGGCCAGCGGGCCCCCCCCGCCAAGGCTCGCGCGCGCGGCGTCTGGCCACGAGGGGCCGATGACAAACCTCTGGGGGGGTCGCTCCATGGGCCGCGGTATGCGCCGCGCCGCGGGCAATTCCACGCGCCGCCCCATGCGCCGCGCGCGCAGCGCGGGCCACTCCGCGCGCCGCTCCACGGGCAACCTCTCCAGCGCCCACCGCGAGGGAGACCCTGGCGTTTTGCTGGCGCAGGCCCGGCGGCCAAGGCCGCCAAGGGTCGCGCGCGGAGTCTGGCGGCCAGGGAACAGCGACCTCGGGCCGCGCCAGGAGCCACCACTCAGACCATCGACCCCGCACCACGGTCGTTCTACTGCGTCCGCCTACCTCGGCGGCCCCGCGAGCGGCGCCAGCGACGCTGCGTATAACTGTGCCGCCCGCGCAGCCGTTCTGACGCATGCAAGCACCTCCTGCCCCCAACGTCTCTGGCGATCGCCTATGCTTGGAGAGGGGGCAGGATTCCCCCCCCCTCCCGCGGGCGGGCAGGCTGGGGCGCATGGCGAGTGGGCCACCAGACCCGACGTGCAGCGCGGGCAGCGCCACGGTGCCCGCGCTAGCGCATTCGCGCGCCACTTCGCTATCCAGCCCTCAAGAGGCGAGCGCGACCGAGGCCCCTGCCACCACGTACCCAGGCACGTTGTCCCTATCCAGCTCTACAGAGTCGAACTACGCCACGGCGTCCACCACGATGCCTCAGGCGGACTCAGGCGACAGAAGGGGTCCGCAACATAGGCTCTTCAATGGGAGCTGAATGGCCCATCTATGGTATATTCAAAAAACTCTCGCGTGGCTGGCATCCACTTCGCGTGGGCATATAAGGCGGGAGTGCGACGCTCGAGCGTTGTCCGTTGGCGGCCACGCATCGCCCAGCCGTTGTCGCCCGCACAAGCATAGTTGGATGCATGCGCTGCGAAACGCAATGTGAATTCGCATTTTGGGCAAACGAAAGATATACGTTCACGCAATGGAAAAACCCGCAATGCGAAATCACAAATTCACGTTGCATATTCTTTCTGAGCAGAAGGCCGAACATGTGAAATCACATTTTTGGAGACGCAACATGTGAATTAACAGTTTATGGGCTGCAGACGGTGAATGCACATGCTGGACATCCGCACCAAACTTTCAATTCGCCCTGGGCGATGGCCCGAAAGGTAGCAAGGTGGGCACCGGTGGCTGGGTGATGCGCTAACGGGCAACGCTCGAGCGTCGCACTCCTGGCTCACAATCCAAAAGCTAAGTGGACGTCAACCATGCTGGAACATTTGAATGGGCGATGCATAAGCCTTGGATTGGCCATCCATCACCCATTGAAGACCCCCTTCTGCGGACCACCTTTTTCGCTTTGCGATTCGACGCAGTCGAGTGACACCACATCGGCGCCTCGCTCCACGAAACCGAACACCACCATGGCGTCCACCACGGCGCCCCCAAGCACCACGTCAGGCCACCACGGCGCCCGCCATGACGCAGTCGGCCGCCACGTCAAGCAATTCAACGAAATCAAGCAACACTACGGTGCCCACTACGGCGTACTCAAGCATCACGGCGGACTCATGCTTTAGGGTGTCGTACCGTTTCCAAGCAAACCAAAACAACGTACACAAGCGCATCGGCGGCATAATGCCCTTCGGAGTCGAGCCGTTCTACGGTTACCATACCGTCGCCCTCGCACGCCATGGTGGCACCTAGCTCTACGACTCTGAACCGGACATATGGCGCGCACCAAGACAAAACAATAACCACCACTCATGCCGTTACCTATCCTATGCCGTAATCCTTGGCCCTCCCTCCGAACGTCCGCCGACTCTCACGGGCACCAGCCACGGGGGCCACCAGACCCATGTTGCCACCTCTCTTCCTACAGGTTTTTTTTCTGACTCTCCCTCCGAGCGCCCGCCGACCAGATAATCTGCTCGCGATTCAGCCGATATGAACGAGAACGCGCACTCGTCCGCGACTGGACCGTCGCCCCAGTGTTATGGTGGCCAGACACCTCGGCGGCATCCAGCGCGTCGGGGCCGAGCAGTGCCACGGCGACAAGGTCGACGCTCTCGAGCGCCATGGCGGCATCCAGCTCTACGATATTGAACCGCCCCACGGTGTCCACCAGAGCAGCAACCAGCCACTAGCTCATTCCTCAATCCATCGTTCTCCACCAGTGACCCCCAGGCGAGCCACCAGGCCCAGCTCCCCGAGCGAGCCGGGCGCCTCGCACACACGTTACGCCGATCCCGAGAACTTTCGGGGGCCCTCCTCGCACGACTCCACCGTGCCCAATCCCAATCGGCATCTCCACCGCCTCTCTCTCCCCATGGCACTCACTTACATGAGGTCATCAGAGCGCGATTCTGTGCTCACCACCAGCGCAACAGCCGCTGGCCCAGCCCTTTTTTCTGCGTCCCGTGCGAACGTCTGGCACCTCGTTCCACGGGTCACGCCGCAGGTCGCGGCGAGGAGGTGCCCCCCCGCGACGCCCAGTGTTAGGGTCTGAGAGGCGCGCGCTGTGGTGCCACTCTGGAATCGCCATGCCCTACTTTGTTTTCCTGTGGTAGTCTTTCCGACGGCGCCGTGGGGCAGGGTCTCCCACCCCCGTCTCCTCTTGAGGCTCCTCCCGCCAAAGAGGTGCGGGCAGGAGCGCTGGCTGCCTTGTGGAACAGCCCGTGGACCAGACCTGGTCCGAAGAGTTGTGCTCTCTCTCTCTCTCTCTCTTTCTCTCTGTCCCTCTCCTCCTCTGTTGATCTTGTCCGTTGTCTATATATATATATAAACACATGTGTATATATATATGTGTGTGTGTGTTTCTCTTCCTTCAGCCCCACGCTCCTTCCTTCCCTTTCCTTTTGCACCCCTCCTACGCGAGTCGCTTGGGTGCTCTAGCTCGATGCTGCTATCTCGCCCCGCTGCTCGGCCTCACATCTCCTGGCCTCGCAACAGCTCGGCGTCCACTATCTGCAACTTATTGAAATCGCCCCCCCACGATAGACCAGACCGCATTGCACGTGACATCATACCGGGCTCCTGTTCTCAACAAAAACTCGGCCAAGACAACTCCGACCACCAGCGATGCTAACTCCGCCTAGCATGCATTCGCCACCGCTAAGGGCACCGTCGCCGGGCACATGAGATCGCACATCCCCTCTCCTCGCACAGCCTGTTCTCGAGACCCTGTGCCCTGTCGAAATCCCCATTGGCCGTCTACGTATCATGGACCTCCCACGGCCTACGCCCGTCGGCATCCCCCGAGTAACTCGGAGCGGATCTGGAGCCAGTGGCGCCCGCCGACGACAACAAGCGAATACGAACGACGAAAACCCTCTCCTCCCGAACTGCTCTCCAACCACCGTCTGGTGGCGACTTTCCCAATAGCGGGCCAACCCTTGACCTGTAGCCGGCCGAATCTGAGGCCAGCGCCTGCCGACCCCAATGCGCCCAAGGCTGGCGCAGCCTGACACGGGGCGCTACAAACCCCACGGGTGGCGCGAGTGCAGCTCGAATAGCCCAACGAGCCACGCTGCGTTGCCCCAGCGGGGCCAGTCGGGCCCCCAAGGCCCGCCAAGCAAATCGCAGTCGTCGTGGGGATGGCAGCCGAGCTGACGTGGCGCGCATGCGCAAGCTGCTCGGAAGTTCGGGGGCAGTCGAAGAGTGGCTCCCTCATACCCTGTCCCCCTTCCAATCCTCCTCTCCTTCCTCCCGCTGGCGCCTTTTCCTGCTGTTGCTTCCCCTGGTAATTCGTCGTGACGGCTCGGGCAGTCACCCAACTCGGCGAATGCTCACTCAAGCCACGCGCGTGGGTGAGCCTGTCCACCTCAGCAAGGTGGCGCCGCCGATGAAGGCTACTATAGATTGTCGACGCTCCAGATCAAGCATGTTCAAACACTTTCCTGACGAGAAATAATAAGAACATGGGCGCCGAATAAGCAAGATGAAGCTTGAAACTGAGAGGATGAGGATAACGGGGGAATCAAACATTCAGGATTAGAAAAGTGAGGAGACGCATGATGAGGATAAGGAGGATGTGGAGGAAGGATGGGGTTAGGTGGAGGTAAACAGGCAGGAGGAAGAAGGTGAGCACAGCTGGAGGGGGGGGCGAAGTAAGGTGAGTGCGCTGGCGGATGCTGGCTGGTCGGTGGGTTCCAACGGAAACTGAACCAGCCCCGGGGATGATCCTATCACCTACCCACCCTCTAGCGGCGCCAGCAAGAGGGGGCACCGAAGAGCCACCAGCTTCGGAGACGCATCGACGTCGAGCGGCGGGCCATTGCTTCTCAGGAGGCTCAACTCCTTCACCATTTCGGAAAGATAGGGGCAGCGCCGATCTCTTGGGCCAGGAACGCCAAGACAGCAGCATCAGACACACCCATTGACGAAGTTGCTGGTCCCAGAAAAGATGCACTGAAGAGAACCCCAGAGTGGGACCATACTCTCAGCCGATGGGCAGCTCACTGAAGCGATCGTGTGGATGTAACCTTGGCGTCTAGCCTCGGAATGGAGGTATCCACTTGTTCCCCAGGGAGGCATTGTATCTTGAGCCAAACATGGCTACGGAGAGGGGGGGGAGGAGGAGGAGGAGGAGGAGGAGGAGGAGGAGGAGGAGGAGGAGGAGGAGGAGGAGGAGGAGGAGGAGGAGGAGGAGGAGCCGAAAGTGAAGCTGAGGAGGATCAGGTGGAGGGAGGCAAGGGGAGGGGCCTCTGGAGGAGCAGTTGAATGGGGAGGCTCAAGAGGTGGGGGGTCATGACGATGATGATGAAGCCGAAGACGAGGCGGAGGAGAAGGTTGAGAAACAAGAAAATGGGGCAACTCTCCTCGAAACCAAACACAAAGTTTGGTTCCGCGACGTGGCGGTGCCCCAGGACCCCCACTTCCTATGTTGGCGTTAAAACTGGCGGCCTCTATGTTTCTTCTGACATCGGGGGCCGCATTGCCCGCGTCGCCGATCATTGAAATGTTGTTTTGGGGGGCGACGGGGGTTAGAACAAATTTGCGTTTGATGTCGAAGAGGATTGTAGGAATCAGAGCAAGATGGACTGGTGGGCAAGCAGGAGGCAGGGGGAACACCTATGTATCAGGATGCGGTATGGTCGGGGTGGGACGGATGAGGGAGAGTGACGAGAAAAAGGATTAGCTGGTACAGGTTGGAGGTGAAGAAGGAAGGATGCTGCGGAGGAGGAAATTGAAGATGGGATGGGGGGCCAGTCGTCCTTCGAGGACGAGCTGGAGGAGGAAGACGAGGACGGAGGTCCGTAGCCACAAAAAACGTCATCTACCAAACCCAATTCTTGAAGAACTGGTCCCGTGGCTTTGCGCCTCTCTAAGTTCGAGTTTTGCGCCCTGCAAAATCCTCGCCGGCACCCCCCACCGCGCCCCACCGCGTCTGACATTCCCAGCTCCCTGAGGCCTCTGAGCCTAGATTTCTAGGAGCCACCCACCCTGCAAAATCCTCGCCGGGACCTCCCACCGCGCCCCCACCGCGTCTGACATTCCCAGCCCCCCTGAAGCCTCTCGGCATAGGTTTCTCCCACCCTGCGAAATCCTCGCCGGGCTCCACCGCGCCCCCGCCGCGTCTGACATTCCCAGCCCCCCTGACGTCTCTGGCCATAGATATCTAGGAGCCACCTACCCTGCAAAATCCTCGCTGGGACCCCTCACTGCGCCCCCACCGCGTCTGACACTCCCAGCCCCCCTGAGGCCTCTGGGCATAGTTTCACCCACCCTGCAAAATCCTCGCCGGAACCCCTTACCGCGCCCCCACCGCGTCTGACATTCCCAGCCCCCCTGAGGCCTCTGGGCATGAGGAGCCACCCACCCTGCAAAATCCTCGCCGGGAACCGCGGCCCCCCTTCTGGGCATAGGTTTCTAGGAGCCACCCACCCTGCAAAATCCTCGCCGGGACCCCCCACCGCGCCCCCACCGCGTCTGACATTCCCAGCCCCCCTGAGGCCTCTGGGCATAGATTTCATCCACCCTGCAAAATCCTCGCCGGGACACCGCGTCTGACATTCCCAGCCCCCTGAGGCCTCTGGGCATAGGTTTCTAGGAGCCACCCACCCTGCAAAATCCTCGCCGGGACCCCCACCGCGCCCCCACCGCGTCTGACATTCCCAGCCTTCTGAAGCCTCTGGGCATAGGTTTCTAGGAGCCACCCACCCTGCAAAATCCTCGCCGGGACCTCCCACCGCGCCGCCACCGCGACAGACATTCCCAGCCCCCCTGAAGTCCCTGGGCATAGGTTTCAGGAGCCACCCAACCTGCAAAATCCTCGTCGGTACCCCGCACCGCGCCATCACCGCGTCTGACATCCCCAGCCCCCCTGAGGATTCTGGGCATAGGTTTCTAGGAGCCACCCACCCTGCAAAATCCTCGCCGGGACCCCCCACCGCGCCCCCACCGCGTCTGACATTCCCAGCTCCCCTGAGGCCTCTGGCTATAGGTTTCTAGGAGCCACCTACACTGCAAAATCCTCGCCGGGACCCCCCACCGCGCCCCCACCGCGTCTGACATTCCCAGCCCCCCTGAAGCCTCTGGGCATAGGTTTCTCCCACCATGCAAAATCCTCGCTGGGAGCCCCACGCGCCCCCACCGCGTCTGACATTCCCAGCCCCCCTGACGTCTCCGGCCATAGGTTCTAGGAGCCACCTACCCTGCAAAATCCTCGCCGGGGCCCCCCGCCGCGCCCCCACCGCGTCTGACACCCCCAGCCCCCCTGAGGCCTCTGGGCATAGCTTTCACCCACCCTGCAAATCCTCGCCGGAACCCCCTACCGCGCCCCCACCGCGCATGACCTTCCCAGCCCCCCTGAGACCTCTGGGCATACGTTTCTAGGAGCCACCCACCCTGCAAAACCTCCCGGACCCTCAACCGCGCCCCACACGCGTCTACATTCCGCCCCCTGAAGCCTCTGGGCATAGGTTTCCAGGAGCCACCCACCCTGCAACATCCTCGCCGGGACACCGCGTCTGACATTCCCAGCTCCCCTGAGGCCTCTGGGCATAGGTTTCTAGGAGCCACCCACCCTGCAAAATCCTCGCCGGGACCCCCCACCGCGTCTGACATTCCCAGCTCCCCTGAAGTCTCTGGGCATCGGTTTTTAGGAGCCACCCACCCTGCAAAATCCTCGCCGGGACCCCCCACTGCGCCCCCGCCGCGTCTGACATTCTCAGCTCCCTGACGCCTCTGTCCATAGGTTTCTAGGAGCCACCCGCCCTGCAAAATCCTCGCCGGGACCCCCCACTGCGCTCCCACCGCGTCTGACATTCCCAGCCCCTCCGAAGCATCTGGGCATAGGTTTCTAGGAGCCACCCACCCTGCAAAATCCTCGCCGGGACCCCCCACCGCGCCCCCGCCGCGTCTGACCCAGCCCCCCTGAGGCATCTGGGCACAGCTATCACCCACCCTGCCAAATCCTCGCCGGGACGCCCCACCGCGCCCCCACCGCGCCTGACATTCCCAGCCCCCCTGAGGCCTCTGGGCATAGGTTTCTAGGAACCACCCACCCTGCAAAATCCTCGCCGGGACCCCCCACCGCGCCCCCACCGCGTCTGACATTCCCAGCCCCCCTGAAGCCTCTGAGCATAGGTTTCTAGGAGCCACCCACCCTGCAAAATCCTCGCCGGGACACCGCGTCTACATTCCCAGCCCCCCTGAGGCCTCTGGGCATAGGTTTCTAGGAGCCACCCACCCTGCAAAATCCTCGCCAGGACCCACCACCGCGCCCCCACCGCGTCTGACATTCCCAGCCCCCTTGAGGCCTCTGGTCATAGGTTTCTAGGAGCCACCCACCCTGCAAAATCCTTGCGGGACCTCCCACCGCGCTCCCACCGCGTCTGACATTCCCAGCCCCCCTGAAGCCTCTGGGCATAGGTTTCCAGGAGCCACTCACCCTGCAAAATTCTCGCCGGGGCCCCCCACCGCGCCCCCACCGCGTCTGACATTCCCAGAAGCCTCTGGGCATAGGTTCTAGGAGTCACCCACCCTGCAAAATCCTCGCCGAGACCCCCCACCGCGCCCCATCGCGACTGACATTCCCAGCCCCCCTGATGTCTCTGGGCATAGGTTTCAGGAGCCACCCAACCTGCAAAATCCTCGTCGGTATCCCCCACCGCGCCAACACCGCGTCTGACATTCCCAGCCCCCCTGAAGCCTCTGGGCGTAGGTTTCTAGGAGCCACCCACCCTGCAAAATCTTCGCCGGGAACCCCCACCTCGCTCCCACCGCGTCTGACATTCCCAGCCCCCTGAGGCTTCTGGGCATAGGTTTCTAGGAGCCACCGACCCTGCAAAATCCTCGCTTGGACTCCCCACCGCGCCCCCACCACGTCTGACATTCCCAGCCCCCCTGAGGTCTCTGGGCATACGTTTCTAGGAGCCACCTACACTGCAAATTCCTCGCCGGGACCACCCACCGCGCCCCCGCCGCGTCTGACATGGGGACCCTCACCGCGCCCGCCAC